TTTTAAATATATAAGGGCACCTGCATATATACAACCCAATTCCAATGTGTTTCATATCGAAGACCTAATCTTTTACCTGAAAGAAATCTCATGAGAGAAAAAAAAAACACATGGTTGAGCTCATTAAAGTAATTTACTATATATTTGTAAGTACAGAGGCATGATCTTCTTTCATGACAAGGTGAACAGGGCTAGAATCTAAAATTCAAAACTACACGTGTTTTTATAAGAGCAAAAAATAAAAGTGGTCTGGCTACAGCGGTTGCAAGCAGTGGTTGTCGACGATTGGTGGTCTGCAAATGCAGGTGGTGACGAAACAATCGTGATCGAGCTCATTAAAGTAATTTATTATATATTTGTAAGTACATAGGCATGACATTTTTTCATGACAAGGTGAACGGGGCTAGAATCTTAAATTCAAAACTACACGTGTTTTTATAAGAGCAAAAAATAAAAGTGATGGAAAATTTAACCACAATAGTGGTCTGGCTACAGCGGTTGCAAGCAGTGGTTGTCGACGATTGGTGGTCTGCAAATGCAGGTGGTGACGATAAGGGGTGGTTAATGGTGGTTGATGGCTTTGGAGGTCGATGGTCGACGGTTGCTGGCGACTACGGAGATCGATGGTTGACGACGGCTAAGGAGGCTCGTGGTTTCTAGTTGGGTCTTCTCTACATAACATGCTCTAGAATTTCACTTCTCCTCTTCTCATATCTCCCCCTTAAAGTAAAGAGATGAAGTCTCTTTATAACTTTTTAGGAAGGGGCTTGTTGGTCTTTTGGCGCATTACTTCCATAACCATGTGACCAGACGGTTTATGTAGATTCCACTTAATCATATGCATTTTTTTAAGGATTTAAGTTTCTTAATAACCTCATAATTGAGCGTAGACCCGTTGGATTTCTCTCATTGAGATGCTTTATTCGACTATAAATATATCAAATTTAGAGTTCAATTGATCATTCAATTCACAATCCACAACCTTAAATTATGTTTCAATGACTTCATTTGGGCATTATTGAAATCAAATTGAACAAGTTTTAGACTAGTTAGTGATACACCACCAATAAATTTCTAAAAACCAATACGAATCTTGAGGCATGACATGGATCACAATTTGATATTTTGAGCAAGAAATATTCAAGCTTTGATTTAAAGTCATTCAAAGCTCGGATTTCAGCAAACTTATAATCAAAATGACATGCTTGACAAGAAAAACCCAATGGTACCAAATTGATCCAATATGAACTAAATCAAGCGTCAATCAAGACATTAAACCACTTTTGAAAGTTTTCTAGGCATATTTAAAAATTCAAATTGATATTAAATTTGGCAAGTTTATAATCAAATCGAGCATCTCGACAAGACAAATCCAACGAACATAAGATCATTCAATAATATAATTAAGACACCCAAATGCTTATCAAATATTGTTCAATCCAATGAATCTCTGGGTCATTCGATCAAAGTGGTTTAAATTCTTCCATTAATTGCAACATGGTCTCTATAAAATAGAGCCATGCCCTCTATTGAGATGGGACTTGAGCTTGAAAACTAAAGAAGTCTGAAGGAGGAGCTGACTTCTAACATCACTTATTAACCAACGATCTAGCGAATGCCTCCTGCTCCTACATCTACCAACCACCGTCGATTACCCTCACATGTCACTGTCGATCACCATCATCTGAAGCCTACTCCTTGCAACGAAGCTCTGAACAAAAAAAAACAAATAAAGCGGAGCATCATCACAAATGTCGTTGTTGGCACCAAAAAATGACTGACTCAAGATGATTCACTACTCACTCGTAGCATTCAATAGCTTAAGACACCCCTCTGAGATCTTTGGTACATGTTTAGGGCACGAAATTAAGGTTTACGATGATTCAACCCCACTCGGGAGAACACACAGTTGGATGGACTCATCCAGGACATTGAACATGTTTGATGCTCATTCTGATGTTTATGGGTCCCTCTGTATCCATCTGGAGCCCTTGGGGTCAGGGCAAGTCACAGAATCCTCCTACGCTCATTATGAGAAAATTAGGGTTAGACATGCATTACCCGCGTTGTTGTTCAGAATGTCCGTTGGCGATAGATTCTCTCATCAATGATAGAGAAAAATACTCATTTTAGAAGTTAATGGATCATAATTCACTCATGTGTGGTTTTCTGTAGCTTTAAGATCGAGAAAACCCTTTGTGAGACGTTCTACACAAATTGTTCGAACACAAGCAATTCGAACAATTTGAGTGATTCAAACAATACAAATAATTCGAATAAATTGAATTAAATTCAAACAAATGGAACCGAACATGAACATCTATTTTCATGAACATTTTCGAACACGATTCCATTTCAAATGGATATAATTTCAAATAAACCAAACATGAACAAAAGCTCGGTTCGGTCATGTTTGATTCATTTTCACCCCTAGTTGTGATGGTATGAAATGGATATATAAGATAAATTATTTTTTGGTCCACTTCAATATAAATTTACTTTTGGATTTGAAGTGAATGACGTTCTCATGTGCGCATCATAATTTTAGATAAGGATATTAAAACTCAATTATTTTGGATGTAGAGTAGGTCGACTAGATGATGAAAAAGAGTAACAAATGCTTTTTTTGTAATGGAATTGAGTTTTTATTTTTATAATATGTTAATAACATATTTTTATTTTGGATGAACAATTTTGGTGCCTTTTCTTTACATAGCATGTGTGCACATTGCATTAGATAAGATCAATGTGTGAATTTGTTTAATTATTGAAGATTTCAAATATATATGCTTCAAATTTAAGCTATTTAATAAAGCTTAGATAAGAAAAATTGTTTAGAATATGAAATCATAGCTACATCATCTTTACATAGTATGTGCCACTAACTCATTTATTTCCTAACAAAAATATATTGTAATGCCAATATAGACATATTTTTTTGAATTAAAAGCTATAAAAAGTTAACAAAAATATATTTTTTAACTTAAATTCATGAAGCCATTTATCGTGAACTTTCTTGCACAATACATAAAGAACATCAAATGAGTTTCTTATGACATCTATTTTGTGTTATGCATTGTCATTTTAAATGGATTGAACTAGTTTAAAATAATTTGTCATTTTGATAGAGTTTCTAAAAAAATTGTCATTTATATCTACCCACCAGGCTCAATGTAAATAGACAAATCACATGTAACAACTTCACTAGCAAGTCTTTCCTCTCTAAAGGTAAGGTCCAACATGTTACAATGTTGATATTTTTAGACAATATGTCGCAGACAAAAAGTCCAATATCGGCTAGATGTAGGACTGAAAAACAGTATTTAAATTTTGGGTTGTCCACCACCCTGAAGAGCTCTTTTGGGAGGTGACAAGAGGTATTAGAACAGATTACTGCTTGCCAGGTGTGTTGACTCTCCATGGTATAGTGAGACCCTCGGTGGAGCCGATTTTTGACGAGAGTGTACATGATTGGGTGGAGGAGAATGTCACGGACAAAAAGTCTCATATCGGCTAGGTGTAGAGCCGAAAAACAGTATTTAAATTATGGGCTGCCCACCACCCCGAAGAGCTCTTTTGGGAGGCGACAAATAGCTAGGTTGTGTGCATTCATATAGAAAGTATATGGATGGGTGCCAATCTACATTAGCATTTGTTGTTAGATATCCTTATGAAAATTTACGCGCCTTGCACTTGACTCCTAAAAGCCCTTATTTGGTATTTAGGCCTTATTTGATTTATGACTCCTAAAAGCCCTTATTTGATTTTTGACTCCTAAAAGCCCTTATTAAAATCTACATTAGCTTTTCTTTATTTGGTATTTAGGCCAAAAATAAAGGTAAATTTTGATTTAAAAATATATTGAAGACATTGTATCCTTAGAATGGGTTTACAATTGATTAAGAATGTCAAAATTGATCTGGCACATCAATTCAACCTGAAACTAACTCGAAAATTTTTAATTAGGGTTAAATATCCTTATCAACTTAATTTCTTGGGTTAGATTCAGCTTTACCAGCCAACCAAAAAATCACTTTAAATGACCCATAAACCTTAAATAGGCTTGAAATCAAACTACTAACTTAGAATTGACCCAAAATTCACTAAAAATTAACCCAAGTTTAAACCCAAATAGATGTTATTCTTTACGTTAACTAGTTATACTGGTTGGGCTCGGGTTGATAGGTTGAGCATTTGTCAGGTTCGAGGGGGAATTTTCCCCCGTATAATATTAGGATTGAAGCTGTTCAGACCGGGTTAGTTATGTGTTGAATTCAGTCCCAATCGACAACCTAAGTTGACATACTAAATGAACCGTACATACAATATGTTTAAATCTCTTCAGAAAATATCCCCTAAATATAAAATAATTTATGAACAACAAAGATTTGACTGTTAGACAATAAATTTAGATTAATATAAGTCTATAAAAGTAAAAACCTTTTGTATGCTTATTCCAGCTAAATGGAAAAATCTTATATACGAAGTCCGAACGCAGCTCTGGATCCAGAATCCAGTAAAATCTTGTCATGTGTGTTTGATTGAGCATACCTAAGAAATGACAAAAAGACGCTAATAACACCACAATGTTATTTTCGTGGTCCTTCGGGCAATGTTATTGACGTTATTCATGAGTGTTATTGCGGTGTTATTGTGGTGTTATTGAAATTATTTTGCAGGGGTTATTGTGGCATTACCACGGTGTTATTTGTGTGGTTTTCCAGGCGATGTTATTGATCACCGGTGTTATTGCAATCTTATTTCGATGTTGTTCGAGTTATTTTGCAGGATCATTGAAGTGAAACCGTGACACCGATAATATTTCCATGTTATTATGATATCATCGGAGTTGTTTAAGAATAACACTCCAATAAGAGCGGCAGAGGGAAGCATATAAGGATACTCTTTCCACCCAAAATTCGAAATTGAGATTTTGGTGGGCGGCAAAATGAAAAGCATGAGCGGGGAATTGCTAAGATCCAAATCCATCTTCTCTCTTTTCCAAAACTCCCGAAAACTCTCACAAACCGAACCAGGGAGTTGCAACGATAGCCGCTCAAAAAGACATCTATGGGTCCAACGACGTGCAGGGGAGAAGAGGAGAAATTGGAGCCACGATGGGAAGCTTGCTGAGAAGGTATTGCGAATAAAGCTTGTTTAACACCCTCGTCGAGTCTTTCTCCCACTTCTGATCCAATCCGAAACCCTCAAATAAGACGAACCAAAGGTAATCCATGTCTTTCACACCTCCCCACTTCGTGAGCTTCAGCTTTATTTTAATTTGTAAATCCGCCTAACAATCAGATTTACCCGGATTGAAGGCAAAACAGAAGAGAAACGCGATGCAGCCGCAGTTGGAGCTAGCTGAGAACTCAATGACGTGATCACGGCGTACATAGACCCGAAACTCCCATTTTTCTCCTCCCGTCTCTCTCCTGCCTGAAACCACTGAGGAAGGTAACTCCAAATCTTCTTTTCTCTTAAATCCGGGATTCGGTGAAATCCAGATTTATCAAATCCGAGTATTTTTTTCGTCCAAAACGATCACCCGGCGAGATTTAGGTCAAATTCAGCTTAAATCCTCCCTTAGGGGCTGTTGCTTGCTAGTAAGTATGATTTAATTTAAGTAAGATTTAGTAAATCCTGTAAATCCGGATTTGAGGTGGTTATATCCCGAAAATTGTTTGTTGTGTTAGTAAGCAAATTTTGATATACTGTTTCATAGCTTTAAAACTATCTAGCATGATTTATCAGGATTTATTTTTCATTTAAAGATAATCAAATTTTAAAAATATAAAGAAGTTTTCAAATGCGCAAAATGTACCAAAAAAAATGTCATTTACATTAATTAATAATTAGTCGTTTAAATTAATAAAATTTTTAAAAAATAATACTTATTAATCAATAATTTAGCATTAATCAATTGTTTATTATATAAATTAAAAATTAGTTTGAATTTTATTAAATAATTCAAAATTTAAAATATATCTTATTTATTAATTAACGATTAAATAGTTACATATAAATTTATCTAATCATAATTAATTTGGTAATATATAATTTTTTCATTAATTATTAATCAATTATAATAATAAAATTTAAGTTAAATAAAAACAAATTAAAATCACAAACCTATCTTCCTCTCTAATATCCTCCCTCTTTCCTTTTTTCACCCAAAACTCCCATCTCTATTCAAAAATCTCGCTTATTTCACTCATATTAGTTTAACCCAAAATCATCGCGTTCTTGAACTAACCTTTGCCATGCCATTAGAGCTAGCTGTGAAGGAAACAATGGTATCATGAATTATATAGACCATTGAAACTATCATTTTTCTTAACTTTCCTCTCCCCTCGTACCAGAAATGACTGAGGAAGACAAGCGTTTTTGCGCCATTCTTTCTGTTGATTTGTCCCAGATTTACTAAATTCACTGATTCATTGGGGTTTTTTTGGTTTCAAGTAGGATTTGATTGAAATAAGTTTTAATAAATTTTATAAATTTGGATTTATCAAATTGTCTAGATGGTTAAATCCTGAAAACTATTTAATATGCTAGAAGTAAAGCATAATAAATGCTAAGAAATAGTTTGACAACTTCAAAAAAAAAAAAAAAATAGGATTCATAAGAGCGAACTTAAACTTCAAAAATAAATTTTAAATAAAAAAATAAATGACTATTCAATGTCTGGAAGTATATAGAAAATTGATATTTACATTAAATAATAATTAATTGTATAGATTAATAATTAATAAATTTGTGTAGAGGAATTGACTATTAAATAATAGTTTTATATTAATCAGTTATTTATTATATAAATGATGAATTATTTAAAAATTTATTAAATAATTGAAAATTTGAATATATTTTTATTCAGTAATTAAATATTAATAGTTACATATAAATTATCTAATTATTATTAAATGAATTATATATAAAGTAATTACTAATTATTAATCAGTTAATTTAATAAAATTAAGTTAAACAAAGAAAAAATTCCCGCTTCCCTTCATGCCGGCCCTCACCTCCGGCTCCCGCTCTCCCGCTTTCGCAGTTCCTGCCCTATACCCTCGCCGACATCCTTCCCCTCCCGGTTTCGCCCAAAACCATTGACTTCATGATCGAACCTTTGCGATACGCTCGCCATCTATCGTGGCTTAACAGAAAGTACCGAAACTCCCATCTTTGTCATCCGTCCTCTCCGCTCCGCTCCTACCAGAAACCATTGAGAAAGGTAAGCCTGTTCGCGCCTTTCTTCCTCTTTGCTTATCCCGGATTTATCGCCAATCGGCGTCATTTTGGGATTTAAGGGAGCTCGGGATGAGGCTTTTTTCGCCGTTTGGATAAATCCTGTGTAAATCTTGCTCAAAATCGGCTGCCAAACAGCCCCTTAAAGATGTTTTTTTTTTTTTTTGGCAGGATTCAGGTTAAATTCTGCTTAAATCCTGCTAACAAACTGCCCAAGAAGTGAGCGAGCAGGGGAAAAGAGCACTAGTCGGAGTAGTTGATGGGAATTTGCAGCGGCAGCTGGTGAGTTCAAGGGGCTTCACCTAGGGAGGTAAAGATGCCATAGCTATTCTCTCCTCTTCCCATTCCTTAAGCACTTATTCACTAGTTTGGATTATGGTGAGGGTGCTCAGAGTTGAATCTTTCTATGCTCTTCTACGAGATGCTGCATCGGCCTCTTCTTTTTCCCCACTTCTCATCTTTCCATCAGCATCAGATGCCGATTCTCTCTGTGCCCTTAGGATCATAACTCACATCCTCTCATCTGATTCTATCCGCTACTCTGTCTACCCTGTATCCTCGTTCGGTGACATTGAAAATTTCGCTGGTCTCAATATCCATAGTTCCCGTGAGAGGTTATCTCTGCTTCTCATTAACTGGGGCTGTCACCGTGACCTCCACCGAATTCTGAAGCTCAGCTCTGAAGTTCGTGTCTTTGTCATTGATAGTCACCGTCCAATTCATCTCCACAATCTAAGTAGGCAGAATGAGCAGATTATTGTCCTTTATACTGAGGACGATGAGCATCATGCAGATTTGATTTATGATTTTGATGTGTCTGCTCTGGCGAATGCCTCCGATCTGAATAGTGATGATGAGATTGGTGAGGACAGTGATAGTGATGATGACAGTGAAAACGAAGTGGATGAGGAGAATGTTAAGCGCCGTAGGCTTTCAGAAGAGTCCGTATCAGACCCAGTCAGACTCTATGGGAAGCTGAAGTCCGAGTATTACAAATTGGGAACTTTTTATGGAAAGCCTGCCGGTTGTTTGATGTTTGACCTTGCTCATTCCCTCAGAAAGAACACAAATGAGCAGCTCTGGTTAGCTTGTGTTTCCCTCACAGATCAGTTCGTACATGAAAGGCTGACCAATGAAAGGTATCAAGCTGGGGTGATGGAACTTGAGCAGTACATTAACATCTCAGGAAACCTGGAAACAATCACTTCGGTGACACTAAAAGATGGCACACAGATTCAAGCACCAGAAAACTCTAGGATTTTCTATGAAGATGAACCACGGCTCATGCTTCTTAGGGAGTGGAATTTGTTTGATTCAATGCTTTGTTCTTCTTATACTGCAACCAAATTGAAAACTTGGAGTGACAATGGTCTAAAGAAACTCAAGCTTCTACTTGCCAGAATGGGTTTCTCTCTTGTGGACTGCCAGAAGAAGTTCCAGTACATGAGCATGGAAGTCAAGCAACGGATGAAAGACGAGTTTGATCACTTCTTACCTGAATATGGATTAACAGAGTTTTACTATCGCAGTTTTCTTAGAATCCATGGGTACTGCTCAAAATTCTCCGCAGCTGATGTAGTTTATGGGGTCACAGCACTGCTTGAATCATTGGTAGGAACTAGGAAGGACACATCAGTTGGCGAGCAATTTTGGGTTGCTTACTCTGCACTTTCTTTGAACAATCTAGATCAGCTTAGAAAAGGAATGCAGAATGCCATTGAGATACAGAGGGCTATTCTCAGACAGGGGAGCTCCGCCATGACAAAGAGTGGATTTATCAGAAGTGGCAGAAGATTTCGCTGGGTAAAGCTCGAAGATCCTGTTGATACTGAGCGGCTTCATTACCCACAGGCTCTCACCAAATTCTGTTATTTTCTGATGGATGCTTTAAAGGAAAGAGGTGCAAAGATGAAGCCTTTGATCTGCGCCTGTTTGGCAAAGGAGCCTGGCAAGGTCTTAATAGTTGGGGTTTGCAGTAAACCACGACTTGGGGCTATTCAAGGTAACTCATTTGGAATAATATTTAGAAAAGCTGCTGAAGAAATTGATGAAGAGTACTCCCATGAATTGTTTGAATCTTCATGGATTCTCTTAGATAGTGTGGCAGTTAGCTCTTTTATGATTAGATTGGCTGAGAAACTTTGATATGTTAATACTTCAGGATATGTTGAAGATGAGCATCCACCGTAAGCTTTTTAAAGTTTTGGATGAGGTATTGAATGTAACTTCATTTTTTTTTTTAAATTAGGGAAAAAAAAACATGACAATAATACAGCCATATTTCTCATAATAATATGCAAATTCTACTTGTTCAGTATTTTTCCGTGGCATTGCTAATATACATACAGGTGTAAGGGTCGTCACATAGGAGATATAGGTTTTCTTTAAATTTAGCTGAATCAGCATAATTCTCTGTTGTAGGATTTCTTTTTCATATATATATATGAGCCGCATTTTCAGGTTAGTTGGTAGAGTATTCGCTTCAGCGGTGTAAGTGCCCTTTGGTTTGGTGTTCGAATCCTGCCTCTTGCGACTGTTGCCTAAAAAGGTAGGAGTTCTCGAATAGGCTGGCTCGCTCTACCTAGTGATGATGATGAAGCCCAAAGGGATTGGTTCGCGGTTCCGCTCATCAACCAATTATATGCAAAAGCCAGCTTTGACGCCTTATGTTGATTTATTTTATTATTTTTAATTTTTTTAATTAGGCTGTTTTCTCTTCATGAAATAGGTACTTGTAGAGTTTTTTGCTTTGAGCATGTATACATTTATATGGTTTCACAAATGTGGCATCATTATAGCCTATATCAAGTGCATCTTGCATCAAACCCTAACTTATAGGTGGTCCATAATCCTAACACATTTTTATTAATATATTGAGAATCTTAAGCTCTTTCATTTGGGAAAGTTTTATTTTTCTTTCTTGCGACTTTATTGTGCAGTTCTCCACTCCTGGTAAGACTCAGAGTTCTAATGAACTTATCCTTTTGGAATTTCATAAGATAAATTTCAAAAGTTTATTTTTACTTGAGAATATACATATGTGTGTGTGTGTGTTCTATTTAACTTTAAGACAAGACAAGTTTTTTATTAACAATCCAGTCATCCATGTAATATTCACTTCTTTTCTTAAGCTAGTTGCTCAATTTGTTCATCGAACACTTCTTCCTTATATATTTCTTATGAAGGCTAATATTGATCTCATTCCATGTAAACTTGAGTCGTAAGGGTAGAATGCTATTCAACCTTGTAAGATAATATTAATGAATTACATCTCAAGGTTGAAGTTAAGGTGTACAGGTAGTTTGTTTCTTGGTGGATTTAATTCTATCTTATCATATATATGCTAGTTATTACAGCAGGTTATGGTCTCAATGTTACCTACCATTGTTTTATTTCTTGTGAGTTTTTGGCTATTAGTGATTGGCTTGTAGTGCTGGTTCGGCTGTGTGGGAGATTTAAAATTAAACTAATTTAGTTTTATATATTTACACGATATAGTTGAATCTCTGTTTTTTTTTTTAGTAAAAGTTGAATTTCTGATTTAAATGCAAAATTTTAACTTATTTAATTATTGATCTATGTGAATAGTTTGTAGAACTTATATTAGTGGAGATATCTTGAAGACATCATTCATTAACTTGGAAAGATCTTATAATATCTTGTGTGATCTTGTAATTAATTTTTTGTTCCCGAACCTGTTCTCTGTTACCAAATGGAGCCTTCAAAGATAGGCTTTAGTATCTCAGAACCACATGCCTATAAGGAGAAAAGGGACCAAAAGGGGGCGAGGGGCTGCCAATCAAGACTAAAGGATTTTTTGAGTACTTGTAAATGGAGTTCTTCTACACCTTTTAAGAAAAATAAGGTGTTAATTTTATTTTCGTTAATAGGAGAAGCTTTTGTTAGTGCTTGTGGAACTTTATTTGAACTTCTACAGTGGAGAGAAAAAAAGTGTCATCAACAACAATAACATCTCTAGGGCTATCAAAAAAGCTCGTTGTTCGCGAACAACTCGTTCTGCTCGTCTGTTCGTTAAGTAGCTAGTGTTCGGCTTCTTCGTTAAGTAAACAAGCCGAACACGAACAAGTTTTTAAAGCTCGAATTATAAACAAGCTAAACATGAACAATTTTTTGTTCGCTCGTGTTCGACTCGTTTTAGCTCGAATATATATATATATATTATAGGCTTAAATCGTAACTGCTCGTGTGGTAATGTGGTTATGTGCCTTATTTTGCATACATTTGGTTCAGGTTCGAATCTCAATACTTTACATTTATTTTTTCAGTTTAATTTTAATGAGCCAATTTCGAGCCGAACACGAACATACTGTTCACAAGCCGGTTTCGAACACGAGCCGATTTCGAATAGGAACAATTTCGAACGAGCAGAACACGAGCCAAGCCTGAGCTCGCTCAAACTCTTTTATAACCCTAAACATCTCAATATCCAATTCCTATTCTTTGTTGCATGTGATTGCATTTCTCTCATATATGTAAAGTGATATCTCTCACGTTTTGCATTGACTAGAGAAAGTTGAATAAGTTAATTTTGACGAATAAGTATTCATTATCAGTTATAGATGAATTGTTTGACTAACAACATGTTACTTTTGTATTTTTAAAAACGTGTTCTTTGATTTAGTTATCATCAGTTAGAAGATCAAGAGTGATGACGAGCTTAAGACAATTTTTGAGAGTTTTAGCTTTGAGAGTTTGCTTTCTTCAGACATTTTTATTGGAGCTAGAATTTATTTGTGGTGGCACTTCATATTATGATCTGAGTTGTGCTGTAATGTTTCATAATGACAATGATTTCAGTCTCTCGATTACTTTGAAATCAACATGGGTTTTCCATACATTTTCATTCATTTTATGACAAACACTCGTCATGTTCTTCTATTTTATTTGTATTGCTTGAATATAGTTTTCTTTTAAGCACGTTTAGTCTTAAACTAAGGGCCCGTTTGGGGCAGCTTATAACTGCGGGCGGCGTTTTGAAAACGCCGCCGTCTCGTTTGTTTCCCGCGTTTCACGAGCTTATTCAAAAATCGCGTTTATAATTTCTTAAACACGCAGCCCGCGGGATGTTCCCCGCGGGCCGCGTTTCGTTGCGACGTTTTACTCTTGTGCCCTCTCGTTCGCATCTCACACCTCGTTCGCATCTCATACCTCGTTCGATTCTTCTCGCATCCACTGCTGCTCCTTCCTCTTCTTCGGAAATCTCTTTCACGACTCCTAATCTTCGGCATTTCTTCTTCTTTGGCATTTACTCCTCTTCGGATCTGTTTTATTTTTTCCCGTCGAGCTGCGCAGTTCTTCCCCTGGTTGGCATCCTCTTCCGCTCCTCCCCTATTCAGATCTGTTTTTTCTTCTTCGCTGATTCTGCGGTGAGCCAAACGCAAGGGAAGCACGGAGAAAACCTCTCTGGTCCAAATAATTCGCGTCAAATTCTTTGGAGAGGATGGCGATGAGCCAAATGCAAGGGAAGCGCTGATTCTGCAGGAGCCTCACTCTCCACCTCTACCTCCAACCTCATCATTCTTCCCTCCTACTCCATGGCCAAAATCCCGCTCTCCCAATTCCTCTCTGCATCTCTTCTCTCCCTCTTCATCCTCATCGCAGAGCTGCAAATTTCATCGACAATCGTCTACAATCCAACGACGACAGTGGAATACAGAGCCGTCTACACTCATATTTTGTCGAATTTTAAATACACTGTCAAATGCGGTTTTAGGTTGTTGTTTGCTGCTCGTTGGTGTTGTTGTGCCGCCGCTTCAATGAATTTAAATTTCAAAGCCGAGAGCATTTTTAATGTATTTTGAATGCATTCATATTTTATCGAATTTTGAACACACTTCTTCTCGGAATTAAAATAAGGATCAATCAAAAAACCTTAACACTATGAACAACATATTTATAATAAGGATTAGTAAATAGAATAACTAATGATCATAATAAGAAAAAAATAGAAAAGGAAGGGCATAGAATAGGCAATGAGTAAAGTAGAAGAATCATAGAAAAGGAAAGGGAATAGGAGAGAAGCTAAACATGTTACTTTTGTCAAATCTCCTTGAAGGTGCATTGAAATGTTACTTTTGTCATTCATTCAATTAAAAAAAATTGCAGGTAAGCTGTTTACAAAACGCACAAACCAAATAACTAAACAGTTTATCCAGAACAGGGGCAAAATGGTCATTTATCCAGAATCAGCTGTTTTCCAGACGCACAAACCAAACAAACGAACAACTTATCCGGATCAGTTGCTCATCAGCAGATTATTAGAATCAGCTGCTTATCAGCAGAAGCTGGATAAGCTACAGCTGCCCCAAACAGACCATAAATGCTTACAGTAAGGTTCAGAGCTGAGTCTAGATTTTCTGATTAATTGAGATCAGGATCTTGAACTACTCATTCAAAGTTCTCTTCAGCTCTCCTTTTTTTTTTCTGAAGCTATTCTTGTTAATATGATTCTAGCACACCCATGTTCTAATTTGAATCCAGTACCATCATCACTATAAAATTCCTTATCATGAAGCTTCTTGTTTTGCTCTTTACCTAGAATTAAAGAAATCAGGTTTTTGTTCCATTAGAGGTGTACGGGATGTTCTTCTTTGGAGGTGAGTAATCAATCAATTCCTAACAGTTAGAATTTAAAGGATGATAATGTTTTCCCTCTTTAAAGTTTTGATAAGGATTCCCGAGCCTTATAATGTTCATGATAGGATGAAAGAGAAGCCTTTTTAGAAGAGTAATTTGTTTTACAAAAGTTCTTTTATGAAAATCTACGAAAAATAGTCATTTTTAACTGATATTGTCAGATTTTAATTTTATTTTTAACTAATGTGTTATATGTTTTGGGGCCGCTTTTTTCGAGTGGCGCTGCCCCAAACCGCGAAGCCTTTCATTTTTTTTCGCTTTCTCGCAGTGTTTGCGGCAGCCTAAAGTTTGCGGGCCACGAGATCGACCCCGCGGCCGGCGTTCGCGATTGTTAATATGCACCGCTCGAAGCTTGCCCTAACCTCTGGCGTTCCTGAAACCGTGCGGAGAAATTTTCTCCCTAGCATCGAGCGTTACAAATGTTTCTGGCGCCAAAGTTGTTTGTTGCAGATCTTGAACTTGAAGAGCGATCAAAATTGCAACTCAAGAGTGATCAAAGTTCTTTGTTGCAGATCTTGAACTTCTCCAAATTTGTTTATTTTTTGGGTCCACTTGAAGAGCTTTACAAATGTTTTCTGCGCCAAAGTTCTTTTTATGCTCGATTTCTGTTTCAGGATGACTACTTGTTAAATTAAATTGATCAGCCATCTCTCGCTGAGCTCCATGGGATGAATGATTAGGCTTCTAATTTCTAGCTTGTGTTGTTTACAACTCAAATTTTGATGCTCTGGTTCTGAGCGTCTTCTTTTGAATCGGTTAGTTTATACTTTGCGCCATTTTGTAATAGCCAGAAAGCTTCTTCTGGCTTTATTCTCTCTGCTCCATAGTGGGTGTTCTTCAAAGTTGAGAGCTTTATTATCAGAGTACTAAAGCATTACAGCAGCTAGAAAACCGCAGAGATATATAAAATCAAATCAAGAAACAAACTCTTCTTTTGTATAAAGTTTAAGATCTTCATTCTGTAAGCTTCAAGCATAGGAATGAAGGAGCAATTGGTTCTGATTCACTTTTTAATGGAATGAAAGCCCTGCAAGGGTATGATGGTTGATGGAGAAGAAGTAGACTATTCAAGCTGCCATCTTTTAACAAATCCAGACTTATCAAACAGTGGGAACATCAATGTGCTGTTTAAAAATATATACCAGGACATGTACACTAACACCCAGATGCTTGCCGCCTCTGAAGGAGATCTAGGGGATGGAAAGGAGCTGAAGAAGCCAGTCAGGAAGTCACTGAGGAACAAAGAGGCTGTTCGGAAATATATAGAGAAGAAGAAGGCGCTTGCAGCTTACAGGAAGAAGTGAAAAAGCTGCGTTTTCATACTTCCGCTTTTAGCCTTTTCACCTTGCAGAAATTTCCGCTTTTTCACCTTCTTATTTTTGGAAGGATATTCTTCCAATATTTCTTGGTTCTTCTCCTTCCTGCCTGAGTCCTTGTTCTTTTGTTCAATAGCCATCACCAACATTTTGATCTGACAAAGATCTGTAATTAGAAAAAAGACAGTTCATTTACAATTCGTAGTACACCAAGCTTAGAGGTGTACTTCATCAATGTAAATACCTAAGATTGTCTCCCAAAATTACAATTTGGGCCTGCACTGTCTTGTGTACTATTGTATGTAGTGTCAATAGCATTGCCTCAACTATCATTTCTATCACGGGAGCTACAATATCTGAATTTTAAAAATAATATAATAATCTTATTAATTGTCATTTTAATAATTTTAGATTTTTTTTTGTACTCGTGATACCCACTGTGAAGTGATGTGTGTATCTATCATTCTGTGTTGTTTTTAAGTGATTTTTTTGTCATCAAAGTATTAAATTTATGGTTATCACGCTTTTGTTACGCACAACATTACAAAACAAAGGCATAATGATCATTTTTCTAGAAGTAGTTACCTTATAACTGTTTTAGAAACAGTTACTTTATAACTGTTTTCACACAGCTACCCCACAGTTATTTTTACGCAGCTGCCTCAAACATGCAGCCAACTTCCCCACAGCAGTTTTTTGAGATAGTGCAGCTATAGCTGAAAAAGTTGAAAGTTGCAGCTGTGCCAAACAGATCCTAAGTAACTTGGGGTTGGTTGCTCTTATTTTTTTTCTCCTTACGTCTTATATTTGTATAGTTTGCAAGGGAGTCATGGTGATCTGTTTTTTGTGGATGCTGCAGCGTGTGTTGCTCTTAGTGTTTAAATGGCTTTCTACTTGGCAGACTCATTTCGTTACCTGAGAAAAGAATTATTTTGAAAGATAATGGATTTTCTAGGTTCTATTGTTTGGTTATGTCGTTAAAAATTAATATTAATCTTGCACTCTGTAAACATTCCCACAAAATGCTTAAAAAAGATTTTATTTTGGTGTGTGAAAACTTGATTATCATTTTGGGGCTGTCTGGTTTATATTTTTTTCCGTGTAAAGTAAAATAAGGATTAGGGTTTTTAAAATTTGTGTGTTTGGAATGGTACAGTGATGAAGTGAAGTAAAAGTTACGTGGAATCAGGTTTTAATCCGTTAGTTAAAAAATGCAGCAAAGTAAACTCGCCCAATTGTTGGCGTAAAATCACTTCAGCACGTGTGGACTTCTTGTATCTCATCGCATTATTTGCTATCTATCTTCTTTTTGGATCGTTTTCGAGACTCTCTCATTCGATTCTCCTTCAGTCCGTCGTCTATCTTTGTCTAGGCTGCCGCTCGATCTTTGCCAAGGTTGCCTGCATTCTATTCTCTTGGTTGCTCATTGCTAAAGCGGCCGAAGGTACATTATGTTTACTCTTTTCAGCTTCTTCCTATTTCTCAACCTTTTAAGCTTCTGATTATTGTTTCAGTACAGATATAGCGTCCGAAGTAAGGCTTCCAGGTTCTCGATTTGTCGGGTGTTCTTTGCCGTGTCTTTTGCCCGAATCTGTTGCTATTAGTGATTGATTATTGATTTAAAACTATAATTAGTTTTCTAATTACCGGTTCTCCACATTTGCCTTTAAGAATTTTGTTAGATTACATTGAATAGGAAATACTAACTAATAGAAAGTACAAGGCACTGTTTCATGTGATATTGATGGTCTTGAATTCTTCACCTCATTCCATGTTATTTGACGTCTAAAAGTGTTCTGAATGAGTTCTTAGGCAACTAGAATCTACATGCTTCGGGAATTCTGTCATTCAGTTGATGATTGATGTTAATACTGGAAATCACGATTAGATTGGGAGAGCTCCATGGTTTTATATTAAGATGTGGTAGAATCCGCAGAAGAAATTAATCATGCGGCCTTGAATGGAATGTCTAGAGAGAATGTGTGATTTTTATATCTTGTTTTGATTCACAATACACTTTTTGCTTCTTATGATGTTTTGTTTGCTGAAATTTTCTACACAATGTTATTCTGTGAGCAAATGTTAATTATTTTTTTAGTTTTGCTGTGTATTGCTATGTTATTAGTACACATTTGATTTGGCTGCGTTTTTTAGTAACAAATTTTGCTGAAAAAAAGTTATTGAGCAGTATACATGTAAAAAGATAATTTTAGGTGTTGGATATGTAAATACATAGAAATTGGGTGGTATGCATGTAAATCTTTCCATGCTCTTTCTTTCAAATTAAGAATTTACTGTTGCTATTGTTTTTAGTTTAATGTCAAGATTAACGAGCTCATTATGGCTAGTTATTTAATTCTTTAAAGTTTTTGCTGGTTTTGAACGTTTTTGACATCCTTGTTGTAGACAAGACTAGAGAAATAGTTTAAGATAAACTTGGAGTCTAAAGACTTTCATTTGACTAGATATAAAATTGAATGTATAGAATGTAATTTTAGTTGCAGTAGATCTAGTGGCAGTGACAATTGGTGATCAAATTCCTAAAAAGAGAATGTTTTTGACATCTCGAGTCTATTGTTTAAAGTGATGGTGATGTAGATGGGGATGTTATTAGTAGAATTCAGGTTGGATGCATGAAGTGGAAGAATGCATCGGGCCCACTTGTGATAGAAAAATACCGCTTAGACTTGAAAAGGAAAATTTTATAAGATGGTGATTGTGGTGAGACCTGCAATGCTTTATGACGCAAAATGTTGGGCAATAAGAGAAACATGAAATTAATTTAAATGTTGCTTAGATGAGATAGCTTAGGTGGATGAGTGGCTTGACACTTAGAGACAACATACCAAAATAAATATATCTATGAACGGGTTGGTGTAGCTCTAGTGCATACAAGATTGGAGTCTTAGATGGGTTGGTAACATTAAACATCGACCATCTAATAATCCGGTAAGAATGGTAGATGTTTTAGATTCTATTTATATTAAGAAAGGTAGATGTAGAACTAAAAAGACTTGAGCATATTGTATAAAAACAATCTTCATTTATTAGAATTAAATGAAAATACGACTCTCAATAGAACTGAAAAAAAAGGATTCATGTAGCCGACTCCACTCAGTGGGATGAAGGCTTGTTTTTGTTGTGGTTGTTTCTGAATTTGAGTTGCTGATTAAAATTCATTTGAGTGACTCGAGTTAGTCAAACAAGATTCACCACATGAATGAATATTCAATCAAACAATAACATGATTAATAAAAAAAACAAGAAATAAATCCAATTATAGAGCTAAGAGATATAAGATATTTCGCAAATCAACTTTTGCAAACAAAAAAATAACTGCTTCTCGAGTCGGCCGGCTACATTTTCTTAAATTGTGGAATAGATTCAGGGTTGCGTATGGGTGGCACGAATCGATTTTATAAATTAGTAATTTTTCATGACTTTTATATATTTTAGGGGACTTGTAGTCTTTGATTTGCTTCCATCGCGCTTTAAGGAATCTCAAGTAATTGTGTGTGTGTATTTATATATATATATATATATAGTTCACCTATGCAATTGAATACTCATTAAAAAAAAAAAAAAAAACATAATGCGGAAAGCCTTCCCAGATTATTGTAAGCAACGCTTAATGAAAATCATTTATCACCAGGATCTTTTTTTACAACATTGATTTACTTTTCACTTGTAGGAACATGACAAATAATTAAGAAAATAAAATAAAAAAAAGCATCCATACATACCACCCAATTAATATGTATTTACATATATCTTAACACGTAAGCTTTACTTCTTCTTTACATTTATACCTCCCAAATCTTTCATATCACCTAAAATAACATCAGCATTTTAACTTTAAAAAGTAATGTGTATATATAATTTTATGCATGTATAAGATGACAAATAAGTAAAACTAATAGTTTATAAATTAAATGTAAATTCATATGAATTAAGTGGTATGATTTTCAATCCAAAAAAGAAATCATGATCTAGTTTAAACTGTCACAAATTTCAATAAATGCTAATAAATTTTGAAATAAATTTCACTCCATAACGAACTCCATCATCCGAAAATGGCAGCGATGTGGAACAATAACCAATCTGCCACCTCTATTAAATGTACATTCAAAGCGGATGGGAGTCTATTTAGGACAGGATATTAATATTACCGTTGGCGAGGGAGCAACTTGCAAGTTTTGGCAAAAAATAATTTCCATAAATACCCCTAAATGGGTACAATCACAAAATTGAGGAAGCATCAGATAAATCATAACCGTTCCTTTTTTTTTTAACAATGTAAATAGCAAAAGAATAAATCACCATTTATATGTCTCAAAACTTCTTGATTTTGAGTGAAGGTAGAACTCTACGCAGGCTCTTCAGCACGACTTTGTTCCTTCATATACCACTTGTTTATACGTTCCTTGGAGAGCAGAACCTGTAAGAAATAAATCAAGCATATGAGGCTGAACATTACTCTTAAATTTATGGAAGATTTCCATGCATACAACTCACTTCTTATGTATTTACAGATCTAATGTCTCTCAACTTTTATTTTTTTGCATACATGCCATCTTATCCATGCATGAAGGTGTATTTCACTTTTTATGTGATGAAGATTTGGAAGGTATAAATGTAAAAATCAAAGTTTAGGTGTTAGATATGTAAACATATAAGAATTGGGTGGTGTGTATGTAAATGCTTGATCCTTCTATTATAATTTTCTTTCGGGACGAAATTGAATTGTGATGATGTTTTCTGGTTCAGACTAACTTAGTTTTGCAAAATAGATATGTTTTGAATATCGCTCAAATACAGTGGATTAATTAAAACATGTATCAGTTCATATTTTTTTTTTTCTAAAAATGAGCATGCACATACATACCACACCTTTCCTATGCATTTGCATATCTAACACCGAAATTTTTATTTTTTTACATTTAGACCACCAAAGTCTTTCATATCACACAAAATTATCACTATTTTACGGTTTTAAATGTGAAATATACCTTTCCATGCATAAATAAAGTGACATATATATATATAAACGTTGAAGCTTTTAAGAGTTAGATAAAAACATAAGAATTGAGTGATTTTTATGTAAATCTTGAAATAAAAAAGTGAATTACTTAACAAGTGGTAAACAACTGAAATAGATGACATTATTATCTCTTCACCTGCTTTTCCCAATCAGTTCTTGTTGTCATGAAGAGGAGCACACTTGTTTGAACCAAAACACCAAGCATCATCCCCATCCATATTCCCTGAGGGTTTAGAACATAAAAACAAAATTAATAAGCTCACAAAGATTATCAAATATATATAAATATTAAACAACAGATATATAATGCCTAAGGGTTTTATTTTATTTTACCTTAACATGGAAGCCTAGTCCATAACCAAGCAGAACACCAAGAGGAATGCCTACCAAGTAGTAGCATGTTATGTTTACATATGCAACCACTCCCTGCAGGCCAGCACCAATAGCAACCCCTGCGTATGATCCGTAGGAAAATATTATGTTCTTGTGTGTAAGAATTTTAAATTATAGTCAGATAAATTACTAAATATCAATTAGTACTCATGCTTGTTCAAAATTGTGAGTATAATATTCTATTAACACATTTTTTAACAAATTGCTAAAAATGTGAATAAGGAGTAATTTTTAGCAACATTTTTCTTTAAATTTATTTCTGCAGCTCAAATTTCTGTTAGCCAAGTCTTATGAACATGCCCGTATGAGTTATATTCATCATTGTTTTTTTCTTTTGCATCAAACAACTCTAGCAATTACATTTATATCATCTGAAACATGCTATTTACAAATCAAGCAACCTCTTTCATTAATTTTTCAAAATTCTCACTCAAACATCAATATTCATGGTAAAATACCAACCCAAATTTTTTATTTTTATCAAATGCTCAATAATTTAATTGTGGCACGCATAAATACATCGATTCGGTAGTTAGAAAAAAAGCACCGAGCTGGTTAATTTGTAAATATCAATGTTTCGGGTGGTCTCTATGTAATTATCCCTATTATAATAATAATAAATGTTTGCATACTATTTTGAAGGTGTTAGATATCTAAATACATAAGAGTTGTGTGGTATGCATGTAAATTTCCCAAAAAAAGAAAACGTCGAAGCAAAACTGTTGGCTCACCTGAAAGAACTGGTTGAACACTATTGAGAAGTATAGAGCAGGCTAATAAAGGGGAGAGATCTGCGACAGCTCTGGCAACTTCTGGGTCATTAGTAAATACATAAGCCAGCTTTCCTCGAAGAATTATAAAGAACGTGAACAATATTAATCCAATGGACAGGGAAGTCACGACAACATTAACAATTGCAAATTTTGCACGCTTTGCACTTCCAGCTCCAAGCTCATTTGCCACTCTCACACTGTAATAAATAAAATATTTTAATACATTTCAGCTGTCAGAAAGTATAAATTACATCAGATGTTGAGAGATTACCCAGCAGCTCCCAGAAAACCAATAGCTATCATCATCTCCCACCCATTAATATTAAGGCTGATGAAAAATATTACAAAGAAAGTCAGATCAAACCAGCATAATTGGTAACAAAAGTTAACATAATAAAAATATAAAATTTTTAAAACAAAGATGAGTACCATATTGACAGAGCATCAAGTGCAACCTCAGCATTCTTCATATATCCAGTTAAAAGAACCAAAATGGTATTATACCAAAGCTCTAAGCTGCACCATATCCATTTTTATTGACTAAATAAATTCATTGAATAACAACTAATATTTAATATATACTCCACTTTTTAAAAGTTCACCATAAGAGAAAAAGAGAAAAACATACCATAGCATGACACCAGATGACAAAGAAACCTTCATAGTGGACCAAAGATCCTTAAAAGCACTAAAAGAGAAACCTTTCCAGGTCTCAGGACATCCCCCGAAGAAGATGAAGCCGAGTTGTCCGATCACCGGAATCCACATAACGATGATCGTCGAAGACATAACTCCGACGAGTCCAAGACCGAGTATCTTAGTCATGAACCACGAGAGACTAAGATGAAGAGCTAATGTCAATACAGCCAAATATGTGATGATGATATTCTTGCTCTGTGACTGAAGGTACATTTGAAGAGTGAAAGCCCAGATGTAGGAGAACATTACTGGAATGAACCATTTGGAAATAGTGCCTGCCATTTCTGCAATCGAGTCATCTTGTCTGAGCAGCTTTAAGAGAGGGGTGGTAAAGATGAAGATGGGGAGGATGAAGAGGCTGCAAATGAAGAGAATAATCCATGATCTTTGTAGATAAATTCCTAGCATGCGGTATTGTTTTGCTCCATAGGATTGGCCACAGAGAGTTTCCAGTGCACTTGCCATGCCCAACTGCAATATTTTTGAGGTGGAGTAAAGATATTTAAGATTTGGTTTTTAAGATAAAAATAGACAAAATATTCTTTGTTTACATGCCTCCACTGTGAACACTGGCACATGAATATGTAAAAATGGGGGTGAGATTAGTACCTATCATATACTACTTGCTTACTACCTGCAATATGTTAAAGTAATTAGTGTGAATTGTCTGTCACATGTTATTTGATGGATTATTATGAAATAGTTTACTATACAATTGCTATTTTTTATTAATTTTACCTATGATAAGTTGTTTGTTAGAAAGTTTTGTAGAGTTACAAACTTAGCATAACACCTTTTAATGCTCAAAATGACTGACGGATTATTGACAAAAGTTCTATTATAATGTCAATGCCGCGCAGTGGTATGAAGGAATATCTATTCATAAATTCTGAAAAACATTGATGAACTTTCAATGGAATTTCTATCAAAGTGTTGATATCTTGGTTTCATCGATAGATTTTTAGTCCATAGATATCAGTGGAATACTTGTCAATATGATAATAACGAATTTTTATTGGTATTTTGACAAAATATTTATCAATAATTTTAACAAACTAATGATGAAAAAATAATTTTTAATAGGGTCATTATTAGACAATTTCATTGCTCAAGTAAATTTGATGAATTTTTGTTTTTATCTA